TCTGCGAAAAAAACAATTATTACAAAAAAAATCTTTTTTAAATTCTTTGTAAGAATTTAATTATTTACAAAAATATTAGAATTTTTCACACGAATTTAATTATTTTCAAATATTTTAATAAAATTGTTCGAAAGAAATCAATGATTTTAATTACAATTTTAATTAAATTTTTTTATTTAATAATTCAATTATTCTTTTAGATTTTAATTCAATTCTTTCCAAGAATTCAATTATTGACATAAATAATTCTTCGAAAGAATTCAATTATTAAAGATAAATAACAAAATTATTCGTGAAAATTAAATTATTTTGAGTCATTTTAATAAAATTCTTTGCAAAATTCAATTATTTTCATTAATTAGAATATTTATCACAAGAATTCAATTATTTTTAAAAGTAATACATTTTTTCTTGGAAATTCAATTATTTAAAAAAATTATAATAAAATCGTTCGTATTAATTTAATTATTCTCAAGAATTTGAATAGAATTCTTTGTAAAATTCAATTATTTTTAAAAACTTTTCGCAATTCAATGATTTTCAATATCTACTATTTTCATAAAATTTCCAAACAGAATTCAATTATTTTAAAAATTTTTTTGTAAAAAATCTTTGAAAGAATTCAATTTTTTTATGAATAATTAAAATTTCTTAGAAATTTAATTATATGTAAATTAGAATTTATATAAAATTAGTCGAAAGAAATCAATTATTTAAAATTTTTTATAAAATTCTTCACAAGAATTAAATTATTTTTATTTATATTTAAATTCTGAATAAATCAAAAATCCATTTCTTTTTATATTTATGGAAATTTGAAAAATAATTTCTGATAAGAAATCTTTTTTAATTGATACCTAAGGAGGGTTGAAATGAAAATTTATTATACTGAAGTAGGAAATGGAATTTAAAGAAATTCTTTCTTCTTTTAAAATTAAATTGAATTAAATCGATCTTTGCTGGTGGAATGAGAAAATGATTCTTTTTCTCCACATTAGTCATATAATGGATAACTCACGAATACTAATTGTCACGGCTTTATCTGCACGCGAGCTCACCATTTTGCGGTAATATTAACCTTTGATGCACACATAACTTGTGGATTGATTAATAAGAAAGAAATATTATAAAAGAATAATATCATAAAAGAATTTTTTAAAAGAGGCGGAAATTATTCTTTTCAAAGGGAAATAGAAAGAAAAAATGAAAGAAAAAAAAGAAAGAAAGAAAGAAAGAAAGAAACGGTTTAAATGGTACTTTTGCAGTAAGTATGTAGTTCTTTCTTGAAAATGTAATTCGGAATTGTTACTTAAGCATAAACAATTAAATGCTAATGCAAATTATTAAAACTACGATATTTTCCATCCGGAAATGGTTTACAGCAGAGTACAATTGAAATTTGTACCATTTAACGTAATTTAAAATTACAAATATATTCTTCAGAGCACGTGAGTCTGGTTTTACGTTTTGCGAAAGAAAGCAAACCGATAATTAGAGACTAAAATGCAAGGTGCTGATTTAATTTATTTGCTACAAGCACGAAGTGAATTTTCGCACACACATTACGCGTATTTTTCTGTCTGAGATAAAAATTCCAGTATTATTTTCATTTAGAAATATCGTTTTTTCGTTTTCTTTAATTTCAAAAAAAAAAAAAAAATGTTTTTTTCTCGTGTAATAAATTCATTGTCAGTATTAATTTATGTTGTCAGTATTAATATACATACGTTTTGAAAAATTCATTTAAAAAAAGGGAAAATTTATACACACTTGAGAAAAGTATAAATATTCTAATTGAAAATTGAAATTATTTTTAAATTACAAAGTCCAAGGACAATTGCCACCTTTTTGAAGAGATCGACCCAGTTAAAAATTATATCGTATGTGGGATCTTGGCTTTTTCAAGGAGGAAGTTCATGCATGTCGTTCCGGTCACGATGACCGGAAATCTTGAGTCGATGACTGGCCGCTCCTTCGGTCGAGGTCAGGCTAAGGTCCTCAAGACAAAAACCCCCTCAAGTTTCGTGACTATCGAGCCAATATTACGAAACTTTTTTCTCCAATTAATTGGTATATAAAGCAGAACTAGTCATGTTTCTTGAAGTTATCAAAAAAATAAAAAAAAAAAAAATAATCTCAACTTCTTCCAAATGTATAGTCAATTATTCAGAATATTTGTTAAAAATTATTTATTGTTATTATTTGGAGAATACTCTAAAACTTATAATTTATATTTTTTTCTAAAAAAGAAACTTTATATTCACAGTTTTTCAAAAGGATATCAAATTGAGACAAAAAACGAATCAAAAACGTTGCATCGCAATATTTTGGATTCGTTTTTTGTCTCAATTTGATATTAGCAGAAAAACTGTGTTTGCAAAAATTTGTTAAAACTAAAATTGGTTTTGAATTTCAAATAAGCGCGCGCTTTGAATAATTTGGAGGTTATGTCCCCACTTTCTTGATTCGTTGCTATGGTAACGCATTGGAGTAAGAGAGTAGGACAAAATTTCTGTCTCTGTTACTCTTGTAAGTTACTATGGTAACCATTTTCTCGAATTGTTCGCGTAGCGTCAAAATTTCGTTAAAAGAATCAGTTAACACTGATTCAAAGATTAATGTCACTTTTCTAGATTAGTATTTGTCGGCACATAAATCTGTAACGAAAATTGAGGTAATTTTGATAGTTTTATTGACCATAATGACTTTGAAATTGGCATTATAATTAGGAAATTTACGATAAATTGCAAGAAGTTTATGTCTCGTGTCGAAGCACAATGTTTCATTTGCAGGATTCATTAAAAGATTCATCGAGAAAAGGACGCGCCCATGTTTCTTTAATGATTTAAATTTTGATGGACTTGTAAAGTAAAAATTATCGTATAATATATGAATAGTAAAATAAATGAAGTTAATAATTAAAATAATAAACAAACTAAACAAAAAATAAATAAATATGACTGAATTTTTGCTAGTTTATTGAGTTTATTAGTAAAATTTACTAATTCAAAAGCGAAACTCATTGAAGAATTTTAATTATTTTTAATTTACTATTTTCAATTAATTAATTCAATTCTTTTCACAAATAAAATTTTCCACAAGAATTCAATTATTTTTAAAAATAACAAAATTTTTCACATAGAAATTCAATTCTTTTTAAACATTTTATTAAAATTTTTCGCAAATATTCAATTATTTTCATAAATAATAAAATTCTTCTAAAGAATTCAATTATATTTGAAAGTTTTAATAAAATTCTTTGTAACTGTTCAATTATTTTTATAAAAAATAAAATTCATTGCAAACATTCAATTATTTTACTAAAAAATAAAATTCTTCTAAGAAATTCAATTATTAAAAACACAATTTTCTTAAAATTTTTCTAAAAAATTCAATTATTTAAAAAGGTTTGTTTTTATAAAATTATTCGCAAAAATTCAATTATTTAAAAAATTTTAATAAAATTCGTTGCAAAAATTCAATTATTTTCAAACATAACAAAATTTTTCACAGAAATTCAATTCTTTTTAAATATTTTAATAAATTTCGTCGCAATAATTCAATTATTTTTATAAATAATGAAATTCATCGCAGGAATGTAAATTATTTTTGAAAATTTTAATAAAATTTTTAGCAACTATTAAATTATTTTCATATTAGAATTTTTCACATGAATTCAATTATTTTCAAATATTTTAATAAAATTGTTCGAAAGAAATCAATGATTTTAAATACAATTTTAATTACATTTTTTTATTTGATAATTCAATTATTCTTTTAGATTTTAATAAAATTCTGCCCAAGAATTCAATTATTATTTACACAAGTAATTCTTCGAAAGAATTCAATTATTAAAGATAAATAACAAAATTATTCCGAAAAATTCAATTATTTTGAGTCATTTTAATATTTTTTTTTTAAATTCAATTGAGGGGCTGGATGCTATAATGTGTTACGCGCCATGTTAAGTGAATGGCGCGTAACACATTATAGCATCCAGCCCCTCAATTATTTTCATAAATAACAATATTCATTACAAGAATTCAATTATTTTTAAAAGTAATAATTTTCTTTTTGGAAATTCAATTATTTTAAAAGATTATAAAAAGTCGTACAATAATTAGTAAATTTTACTAAGAAATAGTAATTTCTGTTAGTTTATTAGTAAAATTTACTAATTCAAAAGCGAAAAGTCGGACAAATACTAAATATTATAACAAAATTATTCCCGAAAATTCAATTATTTTGAGGCATTTTAATAAAACTTTTTTCAAAATTCAATTATTTTCATAAATAACAATATTCATCGCAAGAATTCAACTATTTTTAAAAGTAATAATTTTTTTCTTGCAAATTCATTTAATTAAAAAAAATTCTAAAAAGTCGTACACAATTGGTAAATTTTACTAATAAATAGTAATTTTTACTTATTTCTTTTATAAAACTTACTAATTCAAAAGCAAAAAGTCAGTCGGTAATTCAAATTAGTAAACATTTTTACTAATTCAAATTTAGAGAATAGAGAGGAAATAAATAAGTAGTAATAAAAAAGTTGATTTTTGAAATAATGATTTCTAATTTATTATAATTATAATGCCTCTCTTATAAAATAAAAACAAAATACGATAAACTAGTTTATTTATTTCCATTGTAAATATTATTATCTCATTGTGAAAGTCACTTTAAAGTTTAAACCAATTATAGAGACGATATCACATAATAGAAGAAAGTGATCTCAGTGGAAATAAAAAAAAAGAGTTGCAAACAACCCCTTCTTGCATTGTCGTCATGCGAACATAAATGAATGCAGAAAAACAAACAATGGAAAATAGAGGTCTATGTCTAGTTTATATTGTTGATGGCAATTTATCAAGGTTGAATGTTCAAGTCAATCGTCACGCTATTTGAATTGAAATCATCATACATAGTTTTTATTAAAAGAAAAATTATATATTTATTTAATTTTTTATTTAAAAAGTCTTTTTCTCTTTTAATTTCAGATGAGATGTCTTGTGTGCAAGTTGGAGTGTGCAGTGGATAAGGGCTGAAGAGGGTGCCATATAGCTTCTTAAAAAATTTGAACGAATGACGCCCTCAGTTGAGAAACGGCGCTCATATCTTCACCTTTGGCGCGAGTTTCTTGATTTTAACACTCAGCCGAATTACCCCCTGTTCGCCAAGGTGAGAAACTTGATTGGAAAAACTTATTAATTAACAATTTATTTTTTTGTTATTATTTTTTCTTTTTAATTATCATTTATTATAAAATTTATTATTTATTATTATTTGTTATTGGAATTTTTATTTATATTTCTGATGCTATTTTAAATTTTGTCAGTTCAATTTAAAATAATATTAAAAATTAAATTAAAAAATTAAATTCTCCTCAGTTTGAGAAGATCTTTCGTTTTCCTTATTTCTTAAATTTTTTACGTTCTCTAAAAAATATTATTTCTTTATTTTACAATAAGTATAAAGTTATTTTTATTATTAGGAGAAAAGTGATTGTGGAATTGCGGAAGCAATGTTGTTGTTATAAGTAAATAAAATATAAATTGAAAAAAAAAATAAAAAATGTGTTTTGAAAAGGAAAGTGTTTACGAAAAAAATAAATAACATCAATGATGAGAATTTATCAAACGATTCAAGTCAATCGTGAAGGTATTTATTGTATATTATGTACGCATTTTAATTGAAAATTTCAAAAATTTTTTTATTTAATCAAAGTAAATTTCTTTTAAATTAAAATATTTGTGTGATAGAAAATTTATTTCTTTAGGCGTAATAAATAATATCTAACAAATAAAAATAATGTGTAACATTTGGAGAATATTGTTTGAAGCTAAATCACCGTAATTAAGTCGTTTTGCGCAGAATTTAACGAGCTTTCCAATCGATTTTTTTTTCTAATTCTCTGCTTATCATTTCAATTTGACTGAGTAATTGTTATTCAAAGTTGTAGTTGATTTTCAATAGGAGTCGCAGTAGTTGACTATATTCTATATAATGGTTTGATAATTCGAAAATTTATAGTAACAATAAAATTAGAGTAAAGAATAATTAATAATAATAATAAAATAAGAGTAAAGAATAATTAATAATAATAAAATAAGAGTGAAGGAAAATAATAATAAAAAAATAATAGTTAAAAAATAATAGGGAAAAAAGAGTCAAAGAAAAGAATAGTAATAAAGAAATAAGAGTAAAAAATAAGAAAAAGAAGAAAAATGTTTTCGGAAAATTTGGAAATAAAAAATCTGTTTTTCTTTATGTTCAAGGGGCACCAAACGAAGAAAAGTGCTATGAATGTCTCCACAGTGTTTCCGGAAGGTTACACTACAAATCAAAGTGAAGTTACTGTCGCTCAAGGAAATATTGAAGACAACGAGAGTGAAGGTGATGCACGCAAAACTTCTGCACGTGAGTTATTTTATTTCTCTTTTTATTAGAATTTATTAATTGTTATATCGTTATACATCCATTATATATGGAATTGAAATGAGAAAAAATTTTATTCGACCAAATAGGAAAATCTTATGTTCTTTTTGGCGCGAGAATTGCAAATAAGGAGAGATAATTGTTTTCTCATTCTTTTAAAGATATTAAAAGGCATTAATCGATTATCGTAAATGGTTATGATGAGGATTTTCAATGTCTTGTTGGCGCATTATCATAAATTTCTATAATAACATCTATAACTCCAGCATTAATTCTAGCATTAAATACTATAAACAATTGCTTGGTGATTGTAAATTCTTTTTATAGTTCAATTTTTTTTCTATTTACAATTTTTTTTTTGTAAAGGCTTTTTATAGTTCAATTTTTTTTCTATTTATAATTTTTTTGTTGTAAAGGCTTTTTTTATAGTTCAATTTTTTTTCTCTGTTTAAAATTTTTTTTACTACGCGTCATAAATTATTTTTGCCAAATGGAATTAATTTTTAAGTAAAATCAGTTCTTTGGAAATAATTGAGGGTTCGGATCGAAGAACCGACGCTTCGCAATGTTCTGTGCGTTTACAAGCGTCGGTTCTTCGATCCGAGCCCTCAATTATTGAAGAAAAATTAAAGAATTTATCTTGTTTTGGTTCCTAGTGGCAAAATTGTTTTACCGAAAAATTTAAATATTGCTTCATAGCAAGTGGAAAAAAAATCTGAAACCGTTTTTATTTTAGAACAAAAATTATTAGAAATTATACTATTTTTAAACCTAAACCTAAATTAAATCAACTTTAAGATTTAATAAATATTTAAATAATACTCTCAATTATAAAATTCGGTCAAAAAGGACAATTTCTGAAGTTTAGTACCGAGATTTAAAATAATACTCTCAATACTAAAATTCGGTCAAAAATTGTCATTTTTGACCGAATTTTAGTATTGAGAGTATTATTTTAAATCCTATGAAAGAATGTCGTCGATATCGAGAAGTGTAAAAGAAAATTTTTTAATTGACACAAGAGTGATGAGTGAAAATTAATTTATTTTGTCAGCGCAGAGAAACCGTAAACAATCTGTGTTTTTTTCCCCACATTATTATATCTGCGCTGAAATAAGAAACAAGTCTGAGTCCTATTAGAAGAGTAATAAATGTTATTTGAGGAATCTTGGGGAAAACCTGGTTAAAGGATTCTTCACTTGAAAAAGTGATTCACTGCGATCAATTGATATAATTATCTACGGAGAACTAGACATTTTATCTGGAAGCATTGCAACTTTATAGGAAAAGAAGTTGTTGCAGCTGTGCAATCTTCTGCTTCCTCAGGGTTTTTTTCTTCTTTTTTTTTCGTATTTGATGGAAAAAAAAATTATCGCACACAATTTGCATACCTATCTTTTCTATTCATCATTTTCCGAGTTTTTATTATTTGCTTTAAAGCAGTAATTATTTATGTTTAATCCATTAAAAATGAATGTACCTGCACTTAAAAATAATACGAACTTTGAGTAATAGAAATTATGTCGGGTTTGAATCAAGACAATTTGCAGAGGGTAACTAATTTTTTTTTTTCATTACCCAGGCTTTGCAGTTAATAATTAATTTTAAATAATTGATTACTTTCGAAAAAATTTCTTGAATATTGTATTTCAAATAATTGAAGTCCTGTAAAAATTTTGTTATTCATGATATTATAATTGAATTTTATTAATTTCTTTTTAAATAATTGAATTCTTTTAAATTTTATTAAAATAGTGTAAATATAGAAAATAATTGAATTTCAGCGAAAAATTTCATTATTTTCGAAAATAATTTGTTTCTAAGAAGAATATTATTAAAATTTTTAAGAATAATTTTTTCATTTCAACTATTAGCGGACTTAAAGTAGAGCAAAGATTTTTTGGGTTTTGCAGAAAGATTTTTTTTACACTTAGCGTTTTTGGAGACCTAAATGTTATTATAAATATCGATTTAGAAAGAAACATCATATTTGAAGTTGTAATTAATTGTAATAAAAGTGAGGCATTTAAAGTGTAATGGGTGCATCTATAAATATTCATAAAAATTAATGGAATGCGCGTGTTATTGTTGTCAGTGTTATTAACTTTATTATTGCTTGGGTTAATTAGTAGCTGCAAGAGAACGTCTGTAAATAAGTCATATTTAGACGTTTTCTTAAATGCATATTAGTAACGGAAAACACCTGTCATCTTAGAATATCTCGAGAAATTGTTCTCAACTCATTGTATGTACATAAATATATCGCGTTAATCTGACACTTTTGTGCCCTGGTTTTATTTTCTTTCTTATTTTTCATTCCTTTTGTTATTTGTTGACAAAATTAGGCACTAAGGGTTTTTTTTAATTAATATAAATCTTAAGGGTTTAATTTACAGCTTGTAAGTTTTGCAAGCTTGCGGCAAACTTGATGAAAACTTTATGTTTTTGCTCCGGGGAATAACAAAAATTAATTAAATTAATTAAATTAGTTGTATTCTAAATTAATTGTAATTATAATATTCCGTCCAATTGTGTAATTATTTTAACGAAAATTGTAATTAATAGAAGTTGATGGCAATTTCTTCCTTATCATCAGGTGTACATTTTCAATGAGTAAACAGTTTTCGTTTTATTCTCAAGATGTCAGTTGTGCTCTGTTACCTTCGTTTTATTTATTTAATAAATTTATAAAAATTAATTGTATATAATTCGGATTGTCAATTAATTTTCTTTTTGTTTAGCTATAGTAAACATTTTGTTTCAATTTTTTAATTTATTTATATTGAAAACAATTGAGTTATGCACTTACAGATTAAGAGTTATTTTATTAATAACAATTACGATTATTATTAATTATAATAATAATTACAATTAATTGTAAAAAAAATTATTTTATTCAAATAAACGATTAATTGCGTCTATTAACAAATAAATATTTACTTGAGTCAAATATGTTTTATTTAAATTAATTAAATGTTATTTGCTTCAAATACTGAATTTATTGATTCAAATACAATTTATTTGATTTAAGTAAAAATTATTTGTAATTTTTTGACGTTATCATTTGGTAGTCTTAATCTCAAAGTTTTATCTCGGAAATTGTAATTTAATTTAATTTAAATTATTAAATTATTATTATTAATTATTATTAAATTAAATTATTAAATTTAAATTTAATTAAAAAATTTAATCGTGAGTCAGAAAGCCTGGTTTATAAATTTAAAACATACATTCCGTGTATTATAAAAAATAAAGCCAGAATACTAAGTTCATATTTGAAATTTAAGATTTACCGGATATGACGAATATATGTAGTCTCTCGCGCTTCACTTATTTTTCTTCTCGTTGGGCGGATTTCTTATTATTCAAAGCAGATTTTCAAGAAAAAAAAATCACGGTAATTGGAATTTTATTATAAACACTACCTGGAATTTGAAAAATTGCTTTAAATTCAACGCACAGAGAGTAAAATCTTCTTCTTATTTTATATAAAGATATTTTTTTTAAAAAATTGTTTCATGTTAGATTTTTGTCAAAAAATATTCTGAAACTAAGTTATTCTTTTCCGTCAAAAGAATTCTTTGACAGAATAAACCAGAAAAATTTTTTTTTATCTTAAAAATTATATATCATTTTAGTGCCAACAAGATTTATTATTTATGTATGGGAAAAAATTAAATAAAAATTAAATAAAAATTATTTAAATTAAACTATAAATTAAATTAAATATTAAAATATAGTTAATTAGTAAAAAATTAAAATTTTTATACTGATAATATTGAACTTTTGTTTAAAAATATATTTGAATGAAGATGGGACTTTTCTGATAAAACAGATATATCCTTATTCATCTTTAATGTTCCACTTTCTATAGAGTAATTAAAAGTTGAGAAATTATAATAATTATTAAAAATGATTAAATATACATTGTCTTTTATCTGTAAATCGCTATAGAAGAATTATTAGAGTCTTTTGAACACATAAATATTGTTCAAATTAATCATAGTGTACATTGCATTCGGATAGTTATCTGATGATTAAAAAATAGTTATTTACCACAAGTTTATTGCTGAGGAAAGTGTTAAAAAACGCGTCATTGTTTTACATAAAAAAAACATGGAAATCCCTCCCTTCTCTAAACAAAATGTTTAAAAATTGAATTTAAATATGCAATTAAAATGTAAATTTATATTTTTCTTCTTCTTTTCTTATTATTACTATTTATAGTATTATTATTATTAATAATATTATTATTTTTGCTACTTTCGATATTATTATTATTATTATTATTATTATTATTATTATTATTATTATTATTATTATTATTATTATTATAATTTCATTGCTATTATTATTATTATTAATAATATTATTATTTTTGCTACTTTCGATATTATTATTATTATTATTATTATTATTATTATATTTTTTTATTATTTTAATTCTTATTATTATTAGAAAAAATTTCAATGAAAATTAATGATGACTTTCAAACGTTAAATTTGACGTCTACAACTATATGTACACATTGACTTGTCTGATCGTAACAGTTTTTACTACTGATTATTATTACCTACTTGTGAACACATTTATGCTTCATATTCATTCATTTTTGTGAAATCGCAAACGCATTCTAGACGAGAAAAGTTATTCACGTCTTTCAAAACAAATATATTATATCCTGCTGTTACACTGAATGTTCAAATATCATTTTTTTGTCCTTTGAATATTTATCATTTATTATTTTGTCCTGACATAATAATAAAAGTAAATAATATGTTAACAAAAAGAAAAAGACCAGAGTGTACAGTTTATAGCATTTTATGTTTTTCCAATAAGGCACCATTGCGAAATTTTTATACTCATTGTCACGAAAATATCCGATGAATAGTTTTAAAAAAAATTGTGCGCAAAACAAATATTTTTTATTCAACTTAATTTTTTTCAAATTCAAATTTTTTGAAATTTCAAAATCAAATTTCGAATTTTTCAATTTTTTTGTCTTTTTGTTTGCTTCATAAACTATTAAATTACCGCGAATTTTATTAATTCTTCAATTTTTCAGGAATTTTAATCAAAATCATTGCAAAATTCAATTATTTTCATAAATAACAATATTCATCACAAGAATTCCTTTATTTTCAAAATTAATAACATTCTTCGGAAAAATTTAATTACTTTCAAAAAATCTAAAAAAAAATGTCAACATTTCAATTATCTTGATATCTTCATAAATGAATAGCAAAATCCTTCGACAAAATTCAATTATTTTCAGGGATTTTAATTTTTAATAAAATTCATTGCAAAATTCAATTATTTTCAAAAATTTTTCTTAATTCAATGATTTTCAATATTCTACTATTTTTTAATAAAATTTATCAAAAGAATTCAATTATTAAACGAAAATTTTGATAAAATTCTACACACAAATTCAATTATTTTTCAAAAAAAAAAAATTTTTTCACAGGAATTCAATTATTTAAAATAGAATTTGGCATTAAATTCTTCGCAGTAATTCAATTATTTTTATAAATTTTTTAATTCTTTTCAGGGATTTAATTATTTTCATAAATAATAAAATCATTGGGAGGAAGTCAATTTTTTTCATAAATAACAATATTCATCACAAGAATACAATTCGTTTCAAAAGTACTAAAATTCAATTATTTTCAAAAATATTAATAAAATTCATTGGAAATTTTAAATATTTTCAAAAATTTTAATAAAATTCATTGAAAAATTTTAATTATTTTCAAAAATATTTCATAATTCAATAATTTGTATATTAATTATTTTAATAAAATTTTTCAAAGAAATTCAATGATTTAAAAACAATTTTGACAAAATTCTACACGAATTTCACATGAATTCAATTATTAAAAATAAAATTTACATAAATTTTTTTTGAAAAAGTCAATTGTTTGAAACTTTTATTTATAAAATTCTTCCCAATAATGAAATTAATCATTTTAATCTAATTTTAATGAAATTCCTAGAGAAATCTAATTATTTAAAACAAAATTTACTAAAATTCGTCGAAATAATTAAAATATTTAAAAATTTGTTGATAACATTCTTTATGAGAATTCAATTGTTGAGGTTCATTCAATTATTAAATAAGTAATCCACATTTTTGGTGTCAATTCGTTGCAATTTTATACTTTTAAATTAATAGTGATTATAATGATAAATGTAAATATTAAAAATTAGAAAATAGAATAATAACGAAAAAAATAATGACAAAATAAATATTAATAAGTAATAATAGTAACAATAATAATAAATAAAAATGATAGTTATTAGCAGTAGTAGTAGTAGTAGTAGTAGTAGCAGTAGTAATGATAAGAATAGTAAATAATTTATTACCGCTTAAAAAATAAAGATTATTCGTAGAATTTATTTATTCAAAAAAACACGTAAAAATAATTGAATATTATGTATACATTTGTGTACAGATATTAAAATATTAACCTGTGTGAAGAATATGATTTACAGTTTATTATGTCTTAATAAACTATAAAGAATATTATAAAAATAGATTTAACGATTTTTATTAAGATAGTTATTTTCTTATGTAATTTTATGCCATTTTCTATGCGATTTTTAGCATCTGGTTATAAATTTTACCTGCGGCTCGTAAAAATTCCGAAGTCACGTGTATTGGAATATTAATAACAAATTATAAGCATATTTGTAATTATTTTTCAAAACAATACTTTTTTTTCTTCTTCTAAAAAACAAAAAAGTCTTGCATACCATTTTTTTTTCTACTTATTTTTAATTTCTTTTTTCTACCAATAATCGTCCGTGTTTTTTTTTCTTCTTGAATAGTTTATATTTAATTATATATTTGATAAGTTTTTCCAATCATCCTGAGTCAGAATACAGAGTACGTGTAAGCAATTTTTTTGATCATTAAATAAAAGTTGTGTTCTTGCGATGAATTATTTTTCAGAGAGGGGATATTTTCCAGAAAGGGAATTTTAAAAGTAAATATTGTTTTTTTTAATGAATAATAATTGGTCAGTGGTTATCTGATTGACTTATGAGATACGATTTTAATATGATTGCGCTTTTCTCTCGCAAACTCTTTGTTTTGATTCTTCTCTCTTGCGTTGTTTCTTAGTTTCTTTTTTCTATTCTTTTCTTGTTTCTTTTTTCTATTCTTTAAGTATATATTGAAAATTATTTAATTAATAATTAAAATAATTAAAATGGCGTAGGTTTATTGGAAATCATGTCATGATATTGTTTAATCCATTTATCGATAGAGGCTCGTTGAAAATTGCGAGCCTCACGAACGTTGAGGGAATCCTTTCGATTCTCACTTCTCAATTCTAAATGATGCGCTGCGTCTGGTATTATGTAGGCTACTGCTGTCGATGAGACATTTTCCTTGACTCCACCTCCGGACCATGGGTCCAATAATCCGTTGCTAAAATGGGAACATCATCAAATTTTCGAATAGAATAAAGTTTAGGAAAGCTCTTATTTTAAGTAAGTTTTAAGCTCTTATTTTATTTAGTCTAGCTCTTATTTTAAAGCAGAATGGAAGTCAAATCAAGATGCAATATTTTTAACAAATAAATACCTGAAAACAATATTCGAAGCCGCTGAGAGATCGGAACATCCGTAAAGTTTACAGGCCCTGTTGAATTGTGGTCGCACTTTATAAGCATTGTAGCAGGATTTAGAAAACATTTCCTCATCCCATGTGGATGGTTCGAACATGTCTGTAATGCCATTGGTACAAAGTGGCATTATTATTTCGGTGCATGCCTGATAACTCCAGTAAGTTGCTCCCAATTGTGGTGCAGGATCGAGAAAAGAATTGCATTTTGTTGCTCCTGTGTAATTTGTGAAAACACTTATGGCTTTGAAAACCGAGAGCAATAAATCTTTGTCAGTAAGTGTCGCGTTGTCTAGATGTTTACATGCTTCCTGTAAAGGAAAAGCATCATTAAACCTTTGCCTAATTCATAAACCCTTTGCCTTTGCAAAGTCCCTTTGCCCCTAAATTAATTTAGGGGTTAATTATTTAGGGTTTAAATTGACTTAAACCCTATTCCAGTGTTTTTAAATAAGTATTCCCCAAAGTCCCTACCAGGCGACCCAATTCTTTATTTATCAGGAGCACTTCACAGCTCTTCTAAGAATATCGAATTGAGACAAACAAAGTATTAAAATTGTAGCATCGGAACAAATTTGATATCCTTAGAAGAAATGTGTTGAGTGGGCAGAGGGTTAAAACTATTAAAGTAAACTCACTGCCACTGGATTCGCAGGCAGTGGAGTCAAAAAATTTGTCTCGTAGGGGTAATCCACCATTGCTAAATAATCATAAATCAATTCTAGCCAACGTTTTACAAAGTTAACTGCATTTGCGTTCGCCAATGGAGTACAGAAGTTCCAATTTTCGGAAAGCCACTTCAATCCTTCATCTGTGGACAATAAATTTGTTAAATAATGCATTTTCTGATGTCTAAGGTTGGGGATTAGAAGCAAACAATAAATAATATTTTGAGGAACCTCCAAAAATTAGCGCAAATCTTTAGTTATTTTTCGTTACCTGTGGATGTTATGTTTGTTAGTGTAGCCCAAGATTGTTTAATGAGAGTCGGACACGTAGGATTGGCTCGACGAAAATCTGAAGTAACAATTTTTGCAAATTCTGCACAATCTGTGTGTCCAGTGAATTGTAAAATTGGTGCCGAGGATGCAATCGCCCTAAAAGAAGAAGATAACAAAATTATTCTTAATGATACTGATTTCTTTCATAATGACACGGATTCCTCAATAAAATAATGTTAAGAAAAACGAACCCTTGCACCACATGGGGATACTTCATCCGAAGCCATGCACTAAGCATACCACCATATGATCCTCCAAAAACAATAACTGGACTATTCTTCATATTGGGTTTTGTTTTTAAATACGAAATCAATTCCACAAAGTCTGCCAAAGCTTGTTCTGAATTCAAATAACCCATGTATTTTGGATCCGAATAATAAGTTTCGTTCTCAAATGGTCTCGATTTTCCATAGTAACGATGTTCTGCAAATACCAGTAGAGCATCGAAATCAGTTGCTATGTCCCACATAAAACCCTGTGGAATATAATTTTATTATTTATGCTTTATTCTTCTCAATGTTGTATTATTTTATTTTGTGCTTTGTGGAACATCTATTTAGCAAAAATTTTATTTTTATACACTTTTAATAAATCAGTGTAATGTTATACTGATTTCAATGATTTAGTAGTCAGTATAATTTGTTATGAAATGCTGATAAGAAATTTTTAGAAACTACTTACGGTATTTTGAGCGAAAACCTCGATGAAACCTTCATTTCCGGTGTAAAAGAAAATCGGCGCATCCTTCCCTTGGTGCCAAGTGTCATTAATAAGATATCTTAATTTGAATGTATGATTCACTGCGAAACTGAAGTGGTCCAACTATTCGAAATTCGGACAAGAAACAATTTTCGAAATTATTATTTAAAAGTATAACAAAAGTACATTATGAACATATCATAAAATAGTGATTTTTTTCTACTCACTGGCACTTCGAAATATTCTGTCCTATATTCGTAAACAGTGGAATTGTCTGTTTTAAACGTACGTGATAAAAGTAGTGGATCAGAAAAAATAGAATATTTCGAATTAATTCCTTGCAGAAAGCAGAGAGCAAAAATAGTCTTCCAATAGTTCCACATTTTTAAGAAAAAAAAATCAACTCACAAGAGAAAATTTTCGAACATGATAAAAATCACAACACCATACGTTACACTAAAACACTCTTTTTATTCTCTCTCTCACTCTCTTCTCTTTTTATATTGAAAACTGCGTACGTATATCAGAAATACAAATAAGATCATGATTGTTACCATGCGATTAATTATCTATAAATGATAAGATTCAACTGATAAAAGATTAGATTGAATTTCGATTTTATATTGACATCATAATATATAATGACAAGTAAATGACGTATTGCAAGTAATTTATAAATTTTGTTATAGAGATTTTTTTTTTGAGAAAAAATATTTATTCACTATGTTATAGATAAGATTATATTTTACAAAGATTTTTCCTAACATTTTTGTACCATATTTATCTTCTTACATCATGCGGAGAGAAAAAAAAATATGCCAATACATGCTCGTAAATTTTTACGACGCCTTGAGAATAAGAGTATTATTATTATATTGTTATATTTCGTAAATTATCATTTTTCTCTCACGTGGGAGTGTAAATTTTCGGGGGAAAAAAGTGACAATTTCGGGGAATATTTGTAAAGTAAAAATTTACGTAAAAGAAAATTTACGGTATTAATTTTTCTGGATTAAAAATACTTGATTGAATTGTTTAAATAATGAAAAACGCAAAGAGAAAGGATAATGATTGCAAATAATGTGATCGGGTCATTGATAGATGTAGATTCCTCTTGGCGTTGTTAGAATCATCGCGTAAGAATAATTAAAAAAAAAAAAAAAAAAAAAAAAAAAAAAAAACATACTCGATAAAATAAAGTTACGAACTTATAAAATCGTTATTGCTATTTACAATTATAAGTGTATTGCTCTTTAAAACACTTGTTACTTGACAACCTTAACCTTAAATAACTAACTTTAAATCCTTTAAATGATTTTGAAACTTCGATTGTTTCTCGCACACTATTCGAGAAATATTAAATGGAAAAAAAGAGGATGATAATAAAATAAATAAATCAGTAAATAATGTAAATGAATAAATCAATAAGGAGTAAAAATGAATAAAGTGGCGGATAATAAAAATTAATAAATATAAAAATTAAGAAATTATAAAACTATTACCATAAGGCAAAATGCAACAATAACGTATTGTTATAATTATTACTGAAGAAATTGAACATAAATTGTTATTAAATGACAATAAATAATATTAAAGTGCTAATAAATAGTTATAAACTAGTAATAAAGGATCGTTAAATGGTAAAATGTGTAGTCATTAAATTATTATTATTATTGAAAATTTTGTTATTTTATTATTATTATTATTAGTATTAATAATTTTTTTTTAAACAAAAAATAAAAAACGAAATAATTTGTTTATAAAATGATAGTAAGCGAATAATAAAAAATAATTAAAAACCAAAAGATTAATAAATAAAAAATAAACAAAACATGAAGAGTCAAAAAAATATTAACCGGAAAATTAAAAAAGGAAAATTTAAAAAACAAAGTAACCATAGATATTTCTATAACTAAACGTTTCATACATATTGTATTCTGCATTCGCAGTACTTAGAAACGAAAACATACAATTATCTATAAAGTGTTTAAGTAGTTTACTTGTTACTTCCCAAATTACTTTTTAAGTTTACTTCACAGTTAAATTCTCTTTGTAGATTAATGACAATTATTATAACACCTGTGTAAATTTACAGAATCTTTTCTTTTTTATTTGTAAATCACTTTATTAATATTGAAAAAAATTCAACCCTAGGGGGATTCGAACCCAGAATGCATAATTTGACTGACATGCCTTAACAACCGTGACCAACGCACATTAAAAATTTTTTTTTCTTTTTGATAATTACTAATATTTCGACAAGTGAAAATTGATCCTAATTATGTATTGTTATACATTCTTTTTAGATTCGCACGAAGAGAATATTATTTCTCTAAATAAAATTTAAAAAATTATAAAAAATTAATAAAAAAAATTTTAATTATTTATTTTCATCTAAGAATTTTATTTTATTAAATTTAATTCACTGTAATGAAAAATTGAAAAAAAATATGATACACTTGCAGTTTTTCTAAGGATATCAAATTGAGTCAAAAAACGTATTAAAAGTGTTGCGGAGCAATATTTTGATACATTTTTAGTCTCAATTTGATATCCTTAGAAAAAATATGATTAAATTAATAAAATTAATAATTCTAAATAGAAAGAAACTCCGAACTGAAAATAATTCTAATCATTAAAAAAACCTTATTTTCATTCTATGAATAACATTTTTTATTTTCATTTTACTTCATAAGTATATATTTAACAACCAATTTTCTCACCTATTTTGCCTTTTTTTCTAAATCTCTGCGGATAGTAAATAGAAAAAAAATAGAAAAAATAATTTAAAAAAAGTTTGAAAATTATTTGGCTTGAAATTGGAAGTCGAAAGGATTTCCGCATATAAATTTAATTGCATCATCCAATGAAAAGTGATTCTTACGACTTCCTAGATTCAGAGTGCCGGCAATTTATCGGTTAAATGATTTCTGTTTTATATTGCAAACTTTATCTTCTTTCACGATCAGAGTAAATTGTTTAACGTAAATCTTTAAAGTAAAAATATTCATAAAAAAAATGGGTGTAAATTGATGCAAAATAGCGAAAAGTTATATTATATACGTCATAACTTCAATTTTGTAATTAACGATCGTTAAAAAAAATTGATTCGATCAAATCCAATTATAATGAATTTTTCTGTATCTTCATAATCCTCTTTTAATAAAAATTATTCTTGTGTATGTGAGACAAAATTTTCCTTATTTCTTTTAATGCGCAAATTTCAAGGAAAATGATTTGAAACTTTTTTTTGAAAATTTTTTATTTTTATAAGTGATACAATATATTGTGTGATAGCTACTCCTGAATTTAGATTAAATCAAGTTTAGATTAAATTCAGATTACATTCAGATTACATTCAGATTAAATTCAGATTAAGTTAAATATTAAAGTTCAGATTAAATTAAATTGTGACTAAATTAAGTTCAGATTAAATTGAATTTGGTAATTAAATTCAGATTTTAAAAAAGAATTCTTTGAGGAAGGAAAATTTTTTCGGTATCTGTGGGTGAAAAAAAAGTTGAACAATTTTAAGTAGTTCACATAGTTTACATTAAAAGTTGTTTTATGAAAGTGTAAATTAAAAGTGTCATGAAAATATGATTTTATTAAGTAATTATCTTAGTCCAAGTGAATAATTTATGGCCTTTTTCATAAACCCAGATTTCTAAGTTCCCTGTGTGTACTCATTCTCATTGAAAATTTTCTTTGAACTGATTTCACTATTATGATTATAATAAATTAATTTCTTCCCTCATTAATTATTCTTGGAGATGTAGTATAAGATCAAGAAAACGTTAATTTTATCTCTAGTCATTTGTAAGGCTTGAGAGCCTCGGGTATTTATTAAATTTTCTGTAATGTTTTTTTTTCAATGTTAGTTTAATTTCTTTTTAAATGCTTTTTAAATGTATGTTTTTTTGTAAGAAATTTTCTAATAATTTATACTAATAATACTATTATTAATACTATTATTAATGCTATTATTAATACCAATAATAATAATACAATCTCTCTAAAAATGTTACAACTTTTTATCATTATCTTTTTATATCTACAGCTCTTTTGTTTTACTTGAATTTCGTTTCATTTTAGTTCCTCTCAGTTCCTTTTAGCTCCTCTTTTTTCGAGACTTTTTTTTTAGATTTTTTTACTGTATTATTTTAGTCTATTATTTAACTCTATTATTTTTGTAGTATTTTAATTTTAATTTTATTTTCTTGCCTACTTTTATTTATGTATCTTTAATGGATGTAACAGGTTCATTCGAAAAATGTTAATTGCCCATATAAATGCTCGTTTCTTTTTATAAGTTTACAAGTGAGATGAGAGCCTGAGTAAAATGATTTTATTGAGCACATTATACTTTTCTCGAAGATTCTTTTTATATCTAAACCTCATAAGTTATAATCTTCCGTGAAAGGAAAAGTCTAATGTATATGCAATCTATTCAATCTGAATTCTTATGATCGAATCACAATAATATACTTTCTATCTCAACAATTTATCCTTTAAATGAATATCATAATTATCATAACATAGATACGTTTTATGGTAAATATTTTTTATTAAAAAAAACTTTATAAAACTATAAATGTTTATAAAAAGAAGTATGGAAAGGATCGTCAATGAAAAAACTTATATTATTTAAAATCTGGTTAAAATTTCGTAAAGGTTCGAAATAGGTTCAAAATAGGTTCGAAATAGGTTCGAAACAGGCTTGAAGTAAAACAAACGGATTTTGGTTAGAAATGCGAAATTGAAACGTAAAAACCAACGTAAATGAATGAAATGGAAATTGTTTATAGAATTAGACTATAATTATAGAGAACGTTTGAATGAAGAGATTAATGGTATTCTGTACTGACAGGTTAAATTATTATCAATTTATTATAAGGATGATATAGCCGCGAGAGTCGGACAATAATTAAGCACTTTTAATTAGGACATGAGACTAAAACAACTTCTTGAAGAGTCACGGTTATAACACCTTCATTTTCATTTACGGATATATTGAGACTAGCAACGGTGTTGGTAGATTTTACCAACACTTGTGCATCCAGATTATACATCTACCATATATGTGGTATTTATACACACGAGGGATCTGTACATTTACACACACGAGGCATCTATACATTTATACACACGAGGTATTTATAAATTTATACATATGTATAAACGTGTTTCTAAAATGTACATGGCTAGACATGTGATGCATGAATAAACATCTATTCATATGGTGTGCGTTGGTAAAACTCTTGAAATATCTGTGTACCAGGGGCACACACGAGGTGCAAACACAGGAGCGTCAAAGATATATCGCAGGTAGCTGCGTAAGATGGCAAACAAGCAAACAATTGGTATTGTCGTTATCGCGGAAAACAATTATACTATGTGTACAACAGCACTTCCCATAAGTGCCCTACAAACGTATTTTATCGTCCTTATTCCATAAGAGTGAGCTCTCTTTATATTACCTAAAAGTGCATTAATTATTTCGTTTCTTTTCGCCTCTGTAGAGATGAGA